AAAAAAACATTATCACAGAATAAATAAATGGTTGAAAACTGATTGACATTTCAAATTTCTGTGCTACAATATATTTTTCTGATTCGTTTTACTTTATATATTATTTGTTTCTTTTTAACGTCGAGGAATATCTTTATCACTTATCGTTAGATTCATTCTCACTGATATATCTTATTTGAGGAGATAATTTTTCAATATACATATAATTCCTCTTTTCACATGTAATCATATGCACATCATGCTCATTCTAACTTATTTGTTCAACATTATCACCTACATTGTTTTCCAATAAACTTCTATAACCTTTAGTGGAATTTGTGTTCGATATAGTAATTAACTAAACAACATCTAACCAATAATGGTAGAATTAGCATAAAACCAAAAATTCACCATCTGATTAACTGAATGGGTAACTTTTTTGTTTACTGAGATTGAGCGTGGGAATGAGAGTGAAGATGTAGTCGATAGAGGGATAGCCATACTTACACCCATCTAAAATGAAGATACGAATAAAATAAGAAAGTTGATTTCAACAGTGGTTGTTACTTCAAAGAAATAAAGTTTGAAATAAAATAATCATGTGATTGAAGGGTGTGAGTGTAGGTGTGTATTTGAATGAAGAAAGAATACTCACACACCCGCACCCTCATTTCCATATTCCATATTATAATTAACTATATAATATCATAACTTTTTGTGAGCTACTCTAAGAAAATAAAAACGTATGTTTTGATAGAAAAAAATCTTTATTCTTTACTATAAAGTAAAATAAAGATAAAGTAACATTCCTAGTATTCAATTATTTAAATATTCAGATATTTTAAAGAACGGGTGTGAATCTGCGTGTGGGTGTGCAATGGATACATGCCCCATACACAACACCCTCGCCCAGCGCATACTCATCCATCCACGCCCACAGCCGGCTCACACTATCAAAATAGGTAGCTGAGATTGTAAATAACTTCAAAGTAATAACCACGTCTTCATCTATCTACATCTACTCAAATTTCATCCGATTATACATTTTTTTTATCTTACTCTTTTTTTATTGTTATTATTCACTGTCTTGGTTTTTTCTTTTTTATGTGTATCTGTTTTGAGTCCTTATCTTACCATTTATGAATAGTAACACAGCACATATTTTGCCTTTTTGTTGACGGTACGTTAAATTGCAAGGTATAATTTATTGCATATATATTTCTTCAATAAGAGAACAAAACTATTACATTTTCCTTTTAGTAGACTAGTTAATAACTTATAAGGTTTCGTTGAAGTATTATATTTCAAAACTGAATATATTTCTTTTAGAATAATTTCGAATGGCTACAGCAGTAGGTATTGATTTGGGTACAGCATATTCATGTGTTGCTCTATTTCAACATGGTCACGTTGAAATTATTCCTAATGAACGAGGTAATAGAATAACACCATCATATGTTGCATTCACCGATGATGGACGTTTAATTGGTGATGCTGCAAAAAATCAAATAGCTTCTAACCCAAATAATAC